TTTTTCCTTCCTCATCCTTGTCTCCTCCTCTCCTCTGACACACTTAAATGCACTACGTTACCTCTTATGTCGTGAGGGAAGAGCATGTCCCGGCTGGTGCGGTACTGATGGGGATACCTAGAGGAAGAAGCGCGCAAGCCGAAGAGTACTCGTAGTTTGTCGGCGCCGAATCTCATGTTCCAGCGGAAAGGAAGATCGCAACCCCCCGGGACAGTGGTGGATTTATGAATAGGCAAACATAGGAATGAGCCTAGGGCGGCAAAGTTGGTGCAACTTTCTTTTTAGATAAAAATGTTTATCGAATGTTAAATTAAATCGTCTACTGTGAGACATTATGGCTAGTACGGTAAGTGCCAATGGAGAAGCCAATACCAGCATTAGAGATTGTATTTAGAGAGCGGAGGGTAGACGGAGGAGCTGTCCCATAGATCGCGCAGCCATAATAAAAGCTGAGCGGGTGAGCGATCTGGTTGCAGGGGGACACGCAACCTGCTCCCCATGAGATAGCGCAAAGACTGCTCATGTTTGAAGGAAATAGATTACTTTGTGTTTCCGGGCGCGTCAATTGCTATGGTCACTAGTTCCGTATGTGTAGTGCACGTTCCATCGGTGGTGGCGGTGTTTTTTCCTCGCGGAAGAGTGAGATCCGGTGTCGATCTACACACCGGTTTGCGGGGTTGTCCCCATTCAGGTATCTCCCACTAGCGGGTCACCAACCCAGCCGGGACAAGCTCTAGGCTTGCGACCGGCCTCCCGACATGTGTGGTAGTGTACTAAGTAAGGGACGAGGGTAGGACAAAGAAGAGGAAGATAAGATCGAGCGCAGTCTGTGGCCGGTTTGTTTAGGTACTGCTTCGGCATTCACCTGATATTGATCGGAGAAACCACAAGAAACTACCGATCAGTGCTGTCGGCCGCTAGAATTCTCCTTCAGACAGCGGCTGAACTAGCTAGTGTTGAAAACCCCACCACCGTCGGGACTCCAACCTAGGACAGAGGCACTGCAATCACATCACTTGTTGCAATGAGCCACCTCAGCCGGTTTTAACGAGGTGCATCTTGTCTACGGTCCACGAATGTGGCTGCGCCTCGTAGAGATCTGTCGAACCTAAGTCCAAGGAACCTAATGTCAACTGAAGAGAACTGGTGATCTCTTCGGAAAAGTTTGGGATTGTTATGAATATGGCATATTCTTCAGAAGGCGAATTCACCATGTGTTTGACTTTGAGAAATTAACCCCGCGAACTCGCTCCATTTACGCTGTTACCGAAAAGTTGGACTTGCCTGTGAATGACGTTTATGTTAAGAAACGAAAAAAGATAATGCCAACCACGAAGAGCGACATTTGGATTGATTCATGGGTGGCTGAAGCAATAACGTTCATGATGTCCAACTGAGCGGTTATGATAAAGCCATGTGGAACACCGTTTTCAAGAGGGAGACTGCAGTTTCGTATGTGTATTCGAGTCACTCGAGCGGTTTTGATAGGATGTCTTAGACAAACGAATTTTAGAGTAGCAGAGATACGTCCCCTGAAATCCGACAAACAGGTGCGCAAGATGTAGTGTAATAGGCTTTTTTTTACTGTTAAATACGTCAATTAGAATGGCGACCCCTTCCGCATGTCTCCATAAGGGAAAAGTCAGGAAAATCGTGTTTTTACGAAAACACTGTACTATTTCAGATTTACGAAAGTATCATTCGCAGTGGCATTTACTACTTGTAAGGTTTGGCTTTCCCTAAACCGGTGTTAAGAAGTACTGTGAAAAATGTACAGCGACAAATACTTCGAAAAGTCGGAGAATGTCCCAATCGCCGAGCGTGCTTGCTTCCCTTGAGCTTCCCAACCGCGTTATATTCTGAGGCAACTCGACCTGCGGGACGAGGATTTATAACACTGTCGCAATTCATGTTTCAGGTCATACGCCCCTATTATTAACAATAGTGGATGGGCTTTAAAAACACTCGAAGTGGAATTTTCGTCTCAAAATAACCTTATCTGCTCAAGAAAATAGACCATACACCTGAGTAATTGAGATACTACGTATTATTTACATGAAAAGCCGTTATTTTCAATTTTATTTTCCACTATTTTTATCCCACTTGAAGGATTTGCCCACCAGAAAAGTAGACTGTTCACATGGGAGGAAACCTCAGACCACCTCCAATTTAGAACAGATAAGTTGCGACTACACATTGTTGAATTTTCTTTCAATATCTTCATTTTTTGTTAAAATGGTCAAGAAATACACTCCACCAAATAACTTGTGTTCAATCAGATGCAGAAAGCAGGAAAAGGACTGAGGAGCACAAAATTAATCAGAGAAGAGAGTTATGAGATTTTCATCTGTTGTACATGAAATAAAATTTCTTCAAGAACATTTTAAATTATTTTCGAATGTCCATGCAAAAGTTAGAGGAATTGCACAATAACATGATATTGAAAACACTGATGAAGATCACAAACTGGAGAAGACCCATTGAGATGAAGGAAATGTTGGTGATTCAACCACAAACTCTCAAAAAAAAGTTTACTTTTGTACAAGGACTGTTGTACTGAGCAAATAACTTGAAACATAACATGAAATATAACAATAAGTTATTGGATCAACAAATTTTGAAAGCAATTAATTTCATTTTTGCCAATACACATTAAAAAATGGCTGGGACATGTGGGAGGGAAGTGTAATATAAGATTTTCTCAGAACTGTAGTTCGGAGCATTTGTGTTTCTATTCACCTATCACTATTTTATTTTCTTCAAAAATATTTTTTCATGAAAATAAATTCTGATTATTGCTCGACTTCTCCAGTGAATAACAAATTCTAATAATTCCAGTGTTCCAGGTCTGCCACCCTTCTGTTTAATGATTTTTTCTATAGAAGTTACTTCACATGACAGACCTTCAGGCAGCAAGTAAATTTAGCATAGTAAAGAATACATTTCTACATTGTCACATTCATCTTTGTTGAAGGTAAATTCTTCTTAAACCATCTTTCATACTGCATTTGCATTGCAGCATTATATACAATGACATTCACCTACCAACAACAATACCAACTGAAGTTGGAAGACCATAAGTACAGCTAACATCATGACAAAACATTTCTCTCAATTTTCCACAAGGTATGGTTAAAAGAGAATAAATAATATAATCTTTTTGACTTAGAGAAATTAAAAAACAGACATTTGAGAGTAGTAGACACTGGTGCGTAATAAAAAAAACTGGGTCTGTCTTGTATACGTAAGCTTCCGCGGCTCGAATCCATGAATTCTCGGCTATCCGGGAGACGCCGCGTCGTTGGCTGGGGTGCCGATGTTTCGCCTGACATGTCGCAGGCTTCCTCAGGGCAGTGACTTGCCCTGAGAAAGCCTGCCTCACTGCCCTGAGGAAGCATACACGTCAGGCGAAACGTCGGCACCCCAGCCAACGACGCGGCGTCTCCCGGATAACCGAGAATTCATGGGTCTGTCTTGGGAAAAGTGGGATGAATGGAGACCCTACTATTGGGTTCTGCATTTTCAGGAACATAGTAAAAGATATCTTATGAACTAACATATTTACAAAAATAAAATTTATTGCAAGTCCTTTAAATTTATACTTGCCAAAAATGCAATTCTTTCTCGACCGCCTTTCTCTTGACTGTTCTCAATTTCAAAATGCATAATTGTTTACTGCCTCGTGGCTAGCTGTCGATCAGTGTGCTCGCTTTCCACTACGCGCCCTGGGTTAGATTCCTTGTGAGGCAAGATTATAGTGTGGGTTATCCTTGCAACACATATATTGCTGTATGACAATGAGAAAATTCACTTCTCAGGTTGAGAAGTCCAGAATACAGCGTGGGCATGCCAACGTGCTAACCACACGTACCCCCTTAACTCATGGCCATGAGGTAGGGATGTCGCCGGTAGGCCTGAGCCCATTCATGGGCTGTTGCGCCAAGTACATACGTACATAACTGTTTACTACCATTATAAATTTATTAAACATATTTTGGCACCCATTAGGAATCCTTTACAAAACAGGAGAAAAAATTAATGAAACATCATTTTTGTTGTATTAAGATGGGTTTTATTTGAAAATCAAATGACAGAAAGGGGTCTTACATATTTGTGTTTGTAGTACCAACTAGACAATTCTCAGTTCTGTCGCAAGTACAATATGCAACGTTTACATAGCAATGCTACTAGTTAATAATTTCAACACACACCTGTTCAATCACTCACTCAACACACACACATAAGGGCACACACACACACATATGTACCCATCCTTGCACACAAGTCTGATATAATTCACTACATACATAAGTAAATGTTTGAAAACCACAAAAATAGAAAAACAGAGAAAGCACTATAATGTAAACAAAGGAAAAATACAATACAAATGCACTTGTGCAGTGCATGAGCTTTGTCACAACATATTTCACGAAATAGTTTTACATACACCGGGCAAAAGTGGTTTACAAATATTCAGGTCATTGGTGGTTTACATATATTCAGAGACATACATTATCACAACATATCAGTATGTACGAGATATGACTGTTCCTACTATTGCAAAGGGATGTTACAGTGATGTCTCCTTTTTGATACAAAACTTATAACAGAATTAAAACTAATAACCACTTCACAGTAAATGAGACCCTTCACATGAGCAAATATAATAGAATGTTAAATATTCTTGAGTTTGAAAGTTGTGTATCTCATTTGTCAGCAGATATAAACTACTGAACAGTAAAATATATGAAATAACTATCAGTCTTTGTATGCCGGGTAAATTTTAATTCATACAGAAATTCAATCCCATACCATGAAATGCATTTAGTTACATGTCTTTTGACATCTTGCGAACAATTATTACACTGTAGACTGATTACAATTATTCTGAGACATAGCTGAGATTGCATTTACACAGCAACTATTTCAATGCAATTTCATAATACAGTTATAAAAAACAACAAAATGAGTGCAGTGAAAACTCATACACCAAAGTTTCATATTTGAGAATAACATTCCCAAATAAGAAATTTGATTACACAAAAATAATTTTAAATACCTGTACAACATAACTGTAACACTAACAGTCATCTACAAAATGCCAAATGGAGCAAATGAGAATTCGTAAACAATTGAAAACTACACGATGTGTCTTAAGACTACAGTCTCATACTTCCTCATTCATACGATTACATATAAATGAATATATATACAAATAAAAAAAAAGTCTTGAAGGAAAAATTATAGCAAAATGTCAATCACAAAGCTACAACTTTACTTGAACAAAATGTCACAAAATGCCAAGTCTTATGATATATAATAGTAATTATAATAATAATTATAATATAAAAAACACACAGCATTATTAAGTTTAAATAGAAGCCACATCCTTATTTCTACCCAGTATGTATAATACATCTCACTGTTCCATGTCATGGAATTATCCACAATTAACTGAACAATTTGTTCAAAACTATATTCGTTGATGCAACTTAGTATATCACGAAAACCAATGCAGAGAACAGACTGAATGCACATGAAAAATAAATACTGATGGAGAGATGAGATGACCCCTGCCCAACCCCTCAGCTCAAAGCTACCTGAAAGGGATCTACTAATTTACTCACTGGGTAGAAATTGTGGCTATGACTAAACTCCACTGGAAAGGCAGGAAAATATTTTTTTTAATTAAAAAATTTAAAAAAAAATTACAAATTACATCAAGTCTTAGTAACATGAAAGTCAACCACAAAATGAAATAACGCATTTTAATTAAGTCTTGTAAGTTAAACCAGGAAACAATAAAGCTATTTCCTACACCAACGGATACATTTTAATTTATTATAAAGTTTATATATGCCATTCTACTGGAAAACTCGAGCAAGATAGTACCAGAGAGAATATATACACAATGATAAAGAATTCATCAAAATAAAATCAACAGTAACATGTATTTACCACCAAGAACAATAGTCACTGCACAGGATGTTTCTTTTTAATTGGATATGATAAAATTGAGTGCTATTAATAAAAATTGTGATTAACACAAGTTATACCATCAGGTAAATCCAAATGGATTCAAATTTATATTTAAAAGATCATATGTGACTATACAACAACTTTTGTAAAAACGGAAACCATTTGAAATTGAAAAAACTCAAAGATAATCCTAAAAGTTATTCTGATTGCCTAAAATTTTCTTTAAAATAATTTAGATACATGTTACTGCAGCATTAACTTGCATAAATGGAGCTGGAACATTGCAACATGAAATTTTAACATGCCTTCACCAGTTACATTAATTTGTAAACTCCAATAATCTAAACCTCTGATTGAAACAGTAATAATGGAACAGGGCAGACAGGAATGCCAGCAGCTCAAGTACAAAGGGAGCCAAGTATTGTATGTGGCAGGCATATTCTGCAAGATATCATAAAAATATTGGTATATGAATACCAAAGCAGAAAGTACTAATATTTTCTTTAGCCTGCATTTTCAAATTTAGTAACTACTTTTTCCAACATGACACCCTATCATGCCACAATTCTAATATGTTTACACCTATGTGAAACAATACAGTTACAGAAAGAAACAATACATTTAACCTCCAGTTAACACTCATATTCTCTCAAGTTGAGTGCTCTCATTTTTAATTTATTGTACACAGACAACAGAAGCAAATCATTACAACTAGGTTTCAAGCAAGTCAACGGCTGTGTCAGAATACAATGGGGGTGTAACGGGGAATATAATTATTTCTTCCACAATATTTCACAAGAAGCAAGATTTATAATCTGACCAATACCTGAAGTATACACGATCTCATACTTTTCATAAAAACAACAACATTCTTTAAATTTACCAACACGGTTCATAATAAACTATCCATTGTTATAAGGTCAATCCTCATTTAATATGCTAAACAAATTAACATGAAAATAACTCCAGTTCAATTTATAAAGTAATGTAAATCAAACTCATATGATGTAAGTGAAGAATCTAAAAATTTGGGTGGAATAGAAATTTGATGTAACATACGCAGCAATCACAAAATCTGGAGTATTGAATGTAGTAACCAAATAAGCAGAAGTATAGAATACAGATACAGAGAACAAAATTAGAAGCGATTATGTGCTTGCATGTGCAAATGTGGAGGAAGAAGTGGTAATTGATCCCCTTCGTATCAATACGTAATAAGGACTGAAATAGCAAGATTATAAATGAAGAGGTACAAAGAGAGAATGGAAGATTAGTGAGAAAAGGGTTAGACAGATGAAGAAAGCATGTACAAGGAAAAGCAAGCAATTTTGGTAATAAAAGGGAACGCAAAATATGAACCAGAGAATTTTCCTCGTATTTACAACGGTATTTTCACGGTACTTCTGTAATCATATAAAAATGGTACACCTAATTTAAATTTTAGAACATCACAGACAAATTAAATGATCAAGAAATCAAAAGGCATAGATATTAATATTTTCACATGAAACTGTGGATCATAAAGGAGTGCATAATACTTGGAATTGGGTGTACAATCATGTTTATGGCACACAAGACCATCAAAAAGTACATTGCAAAAATTTAACACAAACAGTTCTCACTAATGAAGTTCAATAGAAACTTAGTGATGTTCGTAATACACAGATCAGTTAATGCAGCATGACAACAAACAATGAGAAAAATCCTGGCTGATACAGATAGTTTTACCATCTTCAGGTAAAAAAATTCTTTACTCGCAACACTGAATTGTGTAACATTAACTTCAATTATAGCCATTGCATTTTAAAAATATTCATGCACAAAATTTATGTTGCTTTATCCAATGCATAAATGTAACATTTAATTTTTATATTAGTAGTTCTGTATTCTCAATGCACTTTCCTTTTGGAAACAATTTTCAGCAATTGGATTCCTTACAAATGTCCAGATAATTTACATGACTGTGTGATCTGTTTTGTAGATAGATCAGCAGAAAAAATATGTTATCATTAACTACCAGCAGGGCAAATTATGGGCATCTCTTGTACACAACTTGTGTGGATGACAAATAAATAATGACTTTTCAGCCAATGTGTAAGAATCAAGGTATGTCAAAGTAGTTTTTTGGGTATGCTCTCTATTGTGTTACATTAAATTACATGTATGTTCTGATTGTTGCTTACAATGCCACAGTATAAGTGACCATCAAAGTTCACCTTTAAGACCACACCTCCAGTCACAAGTGTGAAACAGAGCTGTGGCGTAATTTGGGTGGTCCTGGTATCAATTATATAAGAGCTGACATTTTCAGCGCATACGGAAAGACATTGCAACATGAACCATTCATCACTATGGAATACAAGAACAAAAACTTTGAACAACTACATTGAATATCATGAACACTAACACAGGGTCGGACTGGCAACCGACGGGCCCCATTTTCATTCTTTCAATACAATATGAATTTTAAGATATATCAATAACACAATAATTGTATTTAATATGGATACTATTCATAGCCAACATTCACAAAATGATGGTTGGTTACAAATTTGTAAAAGTTACAGCACAACACACCATGCACAATGTAACAAAGTGGATTGAACTATACACATTTCTGTATAAATGTTTAATTATTGAATTTTTCAACAAGGTGACACAAAAACATAACATAGATATATATTCTAAAAATATTATTTTGACTTTATTTTACTAATTTAAAATTATTAATAGCACATGTTTCAAACACATGATCAAGCTATTTAGAATTCTTGCAAGATCATGCAATTTTTAATTATTACCTGATTCCGAGTATTTCAGAAGCTCTTTCAAACTAAAAAATGAAACTTTCTGATAATTCTTCATTGGTTTCAGTGCATGCTATTTCCAAAAGTACAAGGATAAAGAAGAAAACTTTTTATAACAATAATAAAATTTTAATTTTATTAATTTAATTTCTAATTAGCCATTTGGATCATCAGATAGGTGGCACAGTCCGGCCCTGTACTAACAATAGTAATTAGGAGACACTTTTAGGATGGTTATAAAGAATGACCTTTAGCAGGTGAAAGCTTACTAGTCACTTTTTCATGTTGCACAGTAACATTGTGCCTACATCAGGGGGGTCAAACTTATCAGACATGGGCCACATTTCTAATAAGTAAATACACAATGGCCATACAACATGTATTTATGTTATACCCTAATTTATCAAATTTCTGTTTTTTGTATATTTATATAAATAAATATGAAATTAAAAACAAGTTGAAACAAATAGAAGCTGAAATTGTAATGATATCGTGGAACTTAAATTCACGACCAAATATAAGAATTCCAAATTATTAATTGATAAGCATCGTATTTTGATACTTTATATAAATTTTTAACCACATTCCTAAATTCAGATTCTTGCCAGACTTATTGTTGCTTTCAGTTAATTTCTCACAATTAGGGGAATATTGAGTAAACAGCACCATAATTACAATAAAGGAATTCATTAGTTACTATTGGTCACTACTAGCAACAAAAATACATATTGCAGACCACATGCAGCCTGCAAGTTTGACATCCCCAGCCTATACGATTTCACAAAAACTGTATTAATATTGCCTTAGCAATTAACTGTTAATTATTTATTTCCACTAAGACAGGTGCAACAATGCACTGAAATTAATGATCTACTCTTTAACTGACAATTTAACTTGGACAGTATACTTCTGATAAAGACTAAATTGTTGGTAAGAGGATGGCTTAAAATTAGGAAATGCTGAACTAAAGAGATAAATCTAAATTACAATTACATTTAACTTTTATCACAATAGAGTAAGGAGTACCCACACTACTGCCATGAGATGTTAAAAATACATCCTCATTCCATAAAATTTCCATCATTATTTAATCTTTTGAATGAGCAGTCAGTCAGTCTTGTTTAAAATTACCCAATTGTGAATATAAATCAAAATATATTTAGAACACAAACCTATGAAATTTCTAAATATCATCAAGATATAATTAATTTTAGCTTGTGATATTGGTAGCAAAAATTAGAGGAATAGGAACACAATATTAAAAAAATTAGATGAGCATGTTATAAGAAAAATGGCTTCTTCCACACACAATTAATTAAAACCTCAGTTGAAATTGAAATATGCCAATGATGAATGGGTTAAATGTCCAGAAGTTACATGCCCAACTTTTACATGACATATTCAAACTACAACTTGTATTGAGGCAATCTCAAATTTAATGGAAATTCTCAGTTAATGAGCCTAACAATTTTCTGAAACATTACTGATTAATCATGGCTTTCTTCCACAAGCATTTCTTGATGATTTACAAAATAAATTGTTATCATTTAATTAACTGAAGAGATTCAACAACTTGTACCAACGTTCTAAATGAAAATAAATTTAAATATTTTCAGAATTTTCTCCAGTGGATAACAAACATTTCAAACACAACAGCTCGTATACAGTGATCCCCCTCCCCTAGAACTTTGCAGGTGATATTAGCTTAGATGTGTATATGTGCACTAATCAACTGAATCAACTGAATTGCTGTTACAGCTTGAAAATTGCAGTGCCTGTCCTACAGCATTATGGTCTAATTGAAATAGTTATGAGATCGACACCTATAAGATACCAAAATGTTTCCATAGACATAATCAGAATGCATACGGTATGATGTCAATTATTTGAGCACATGGCTATTTTCTTATGAATATCAACCCCATATGTATTTCTTCATAACCACAATTGCCTCATCACTAGTGAATATGGAGCAGAATAGGTGTTAGCATTTTACATGTCATATCATGAATATACGACAACTGACAGTGCACTATCACATATAACACTATGACTGACAAAACACACAGGTAATGCTCTAACAAAGTGAAAATAAACTCAAGACAAAAGGCCATTTGAAAAAGTTGATAAATAGTCAATAATTCAATTCTATAGTAGTAACACGGCGTTGTCACAACTGAAGAATTTTTTTAACTTGCATTGCCATGGCATTTAGATTTGAAACAAGAAAATGTCAACCCATTCTTTTCGTTACTACAAAAATATTCATGCCAGACCATGTAAGGAATAGAAGTAAAGAAAATTAAGTATATATATTGAAGTAGTATGTCAATACAGAGAACCAGATTATTATATCCCAAAATTCTTCCTACCATATTTGGTGCACTTTGGAAACTGATGGTAAGAGCGAAGAATTCCCAAAACTGAAGGCAAGTTGACGATTAACATATCATTGTTATGAAGTATATTGTGATATGATCAATAATATGAAGTTCTTAAGCATAAAAGTGTACAATAATGTATTGATCTTCACAATTAGTAAATAAAACAAAATGTTTATCAGGCATGGATTTTTCTAAGATGTTCATCTTCCTAGCGTGACTCTCCATATGAAAATATTTTATAATTCGGATGTGTATGCTGAAAAAGTTCCTAGCTCCAAAATCAATTTTTTTTACTGTACATGTACATAATGGCTTTAGTTGTCGTCACGACATTTGGATACATATATCATAACTCATTAACAGTAAAATTTTCAGCCACCATTAGAGAGATGAACTTTTAATTTCATGATGACTTTGCATTTACCTGACATTATAACTTGATAATAAACAAAAGGAATTATCTCTATTGAAATTCAAATCATAAACAAGTAACAATTTTTTAAATTAAAAAAAAAATTATAATAAAAAAATAAAATAAAACTTGTTTGCAACTGGTGGTATTAAAATTATTGAAAACGAAAATTAATTAAAAAAGCAGAAGCCAAGACGCAGTAGAGGTAGAAAAGTGGTTTAAAACCAATTGCAATATTGTCTGATTAAAACAAGTATGTTCTGAACACTTGTAAGATTATTATAATTTCCCCAGGAACTATCAATTATAGCACTCAAACACAAAAAGTGAACAATTTAGAGGGCTATGATAAGGTTCCTTAATACAAGTGTTGTTAATCATACTCCTTTTAAATCGACAAATAGTGCCAACTATGTTAAAGGGTAAGTATGGACATAAAGCTATTCAAAATCATTGTAATTTGTAGTGGGACAGAGGAAAAAAAATCCATAATTATTATATTATTACTATTATTATTATTATTATTATTATAAAACGTCTCCACCACAGCAATATGCTACTGGAAATGGAATATGCATCAAATATGGAAGAAAATTAGCAAACAGAGCTAGTCTCAAATATTACTCCCCAAAGGAAGTGTAACAATGGAACACTAAGTAGCAACAGTTGAACAAGAAGGATTACTTTAAAGGTGGGTATACTACAGTAATGCAGAAATGAAAATGTCAAAGTGAAACAACAGATCACGTATGTTTGACGACAATTACTCCTGGTCTCTGCTGCTGAAGAGCCGTTACCACTGAAGTGGACATGGTGTTCACCCGCTGCACTGTTGTGGAAGGGTGAAAGTGAAGGTAAGAAGGGTTCACCTCCAACTTGACGTGCCTGTGAGTTGTGGTGAGTGCCAGGGGTGCTTCCTGGGGCTGCTGCTCCACCAAATGTTGTGACTGAGGTTCACTCACAACCAACTGGTGACCACCCACAGGACTAGTGTGGCTGACAGCTGTTGTTGGACCATCATTGATGAACTGGTCTCCCTCAAGGTGTCGTATAGCTTCCACTATGGTCTCCAGATTCTGACGAGATGTGCTTGCAGCATACAATCTGCAACAATGAGCAAGAAGTAAGTAAATATAGGCTTTGTTTTCTGACAAATACAAATTGCTTTACGATGGTTCCAAGATATTATGTAAACATAACATGGAATTGTAGGAGAGAAAAAAGTAAAACGGAAAAATTGGGCTTGCTTTAGAATCAACTCTGACAAAATAAAAAAAATCAACACAAATTTATAAAGATAAAATAAAGAATTACATATTACATCATACCTCGACTGAGGGGTAACATCATCAGAAGCAGTACTGGGAGATGGCAACCTTTCCACTTCTACCTTCGGCTCAGCTTTAATTGCAGCCTCAAGGATGCTTGGTAGCCTCTGTTCCACACCAGGGGGAGGAGATAGAGCTGGGGGAGCAGGAGGTGGAGTGGGTGTGCCAGCATCTCGAACAATGCATGTAGGAGGGGGACTTTCCACAGGATGTGGTAGAATCATCTGTGGGGAGGGCGACCTCATATAATGAACAGGAGAAGAGCTTGTGACGACTGTTGTCTGACCAATGGCAGGTACAGCAGAGCCAGAAACAACCTGTGAATCAAACACACACATTCATTATTTACACAAAGCAGAACTTGTGTAGACCTAAACATTGTTGGACTTAAGAAGTTTTTAAAAATCTAAATTACAAATGAAACAATTTCTTGGAGGAAAAAAAAAACAAAAAAAAAAAAAAACAAAAAAAAACAAACTATAATTTGCATTGTATTTCTCAAATAATTATTTCCATTCATTTTTAATAATATTCAATTTATTTAAATGTTCTAATTTTATGACCATTTGGATACTGAACATGAAGTATTATATACATCCTAATATTATTGAATATATCTAACAGGATGTGAAAGAGAACACAGATCATTACATCAGGCTCATACCTGAAGATGTGCAACAGCAGCCGCAGTCTCTTGCATTAGTGACAGTGGTACCAATTGCTGTGGTTCAGGATACAGTTGACCTTGTAACGAACGTACTTGCTCTTCCAAGTCCATCCGAAGCTTACGTTCACGACCAAGTTGAACACGCAATTCTACCATTTCCCTTGCATGATCAGGATTCTCAATAATTGTAGCACTGCTTGGCTCAGGACTCATTGAACCAATGCCTTCATCAGCTGATGTTTCATTAAGTGCAGTCAGTCCAGATGCTGAAAGCAAGAAGCAATACCAAACTTTGAAATTTTGTTTGAAAAATTATGATGATGATGACGATGATGATGATGATAATAATAATAATAATAATTGATTCTTATATGTAATGATGAGAACGACAGATGATGTATGAAGAACTTACAGTTGCTGTCCATTAGTCTCCTTTGCTTTTTCATCACACTCCCAGAATTGTTGGTCTCAAGTTGGTTCACTAATCTCTTCAACTGACAATTCTGAGACAACAGGCTAGTCTTCTGTTGTTCGAGCTGATAGATGTATTCAGCAGTCTGCTGTAAGATTGCAGCCTGAGGAAGAGAAAAATGAATATGACATTATTCTGCATTGCCGAAAATATCTTCTATTTAGATTAGCATCTGATAAAAGTTAGTATTACTGCAAAATTTATTCACATTAATTCAAACCAAATGTGAATAAAAGATTTAAATGTAAGAATGTAAGTAGTATAAATTGTTTATTATGCAATAATATCATGTGATCTTGGCAAATGAACCACAAATACTATCAGCAGATCCAGACCAAATGCATGAAAATTTTCCCACCTAAACTTACGAAGATACTTCGGAAATGGCACTACCATCCTGAAAAACCCAAAACATTTTGAATAGCTAATACAGGTTTTTCTACCTACAATACTCAAATGAATGTATTTGCTCCTGAATCTTGAATTGGGACCAATTTATGTTAAACCAGTTATTGTTAGGTGAACTCCTTTGGGGAAAATAAAAATCACGGGAAGAAGGTAACTAACAACCTGCTGTTATTAAATATCAATTACTTGAAAATGTTCTTGAACCGTGAAGAATTTACACATTAACAATAGAAACATGAACACAAATTAAACTCGCATGTAAGTATAGGTGAAAGGGATCAGTTATCTACAAGAGAACAGAAAATATTATTTAAATGGATGAATTTCAATAAAAATGAAAATCAAAAGGAAGAAGATAACATAAGACACAATTTAATACAAATAATTTATGCTGATTCCCTTGTATTTCTCAAATCACACATCCACATGTAAAAATATGAAATACATTAAAATTAACCCCAAAATCCTCTTTCTTATAAGCATTTTACAGTAGTTCAAATCACAAAATTGTTCAAATATCCTCTCCAAAACCTTTAGAAATAGAATTCTGATTGCCAAAAGCGTTCTAAATATTACATTAAAAGATCTTTTACACATAATTTATTATTACAGGAATAACAAATTATTTATTTTTCTACGTAAATTTAGTGAATTGGAACAGTTCTACAAAGATCGTTCATTCTTTCAGTAATATTTTACCAATTGAAAATGTAACTCCTAAATTCAGGAGCTACTTACTATTAATAGTCTCAAAAAGGCGCACCTATGAATTTAAAAACAAATAATTGAAACATGGTATCAACAAGGATTAGGGAAAATGGGCAGGCTACGGCATTGACAGTTTATTAATACTTTATACGTTGATGTCTTTGTTTAGTAAATTGGAAGCTGGGCATGCTAAACGCCGAGCACCCATCCCACGCGGCGCTTCAAATCGCCCGCCACAGAATGAGAGCTCTTTAAACGACAGTCAAGTTGCGATAGCACGAACACTGCGTACTATTAAGCTCGGCCAGACACATTACGAATGCATACACCAAACGAAGGTGCCGTAAACACGAGTTTTCAGAAAAAAAATAATCATAACAGCTAAATTCAAGATCAACTTGGACGTACTTCAAAGTATCTACTCGCCACCCTCGAGAAAATCCCCTGCCATAACTCAACCGACGGCACATTTCCGTGTCGCGTTGAGCTGAGACAAAAGAAAGCTCATTCACGAAAAGAGCTACCGACAAGTACTGCCACAGGGTAACGCAGCCTTTTGAAACAATCTCGCACAGAGAGCGGCCGGCCGCAGTGCCGACTCGAGCACTCCGCTCTACCGAGAGGCAAAACTCCCCCGACGAGGCGCGCGGATGTAGCGACGAACTGACGACCGGGCAAGGACGTTGGTTCCTTCACCTGCGGCGCAGTTGCCGCGTCTCGCCGCTGCCGCCACCGTCTCCTCCACCAGTGACGCCTCCCTGCCCACCCGCCACTTTCACTGGCCCCTCCTCCCCACGCGCTCGCGCCCACGACAGCCAGCTTCGGCGGCGGCAGCAGCCGTGTATACATATATCCTACGTTCCCGCCAATGGAGTTGGAGCGTATACGGAGTTCCACTTTGGGATGCACACGCGCGACCAATTATGTGACCTTGAATAGTTTCAGTGCCACGTTCACGTGGGGGTTACGTCATACAAGAAATATTGACTTACATAACCTAGTATGTCAGTTACCTTTAAAACGATAAGCTAAGATAACCCTAATGTAACAATACCAATTCCCACGAATTAATCCACGTGTTTTACGCGAACTTTGTCATTAAAAACAACCAGTCAAAAACCTCCGATTTCGATACAACCTCTAGTTTACAAACGATATCGCGCAGATAGTACTCATACGTACACTATTTTTTCACATGCATACATTTTTATTTCACGAATACATAACAAAATTATTAATACGAAAATAATCAATTTCAATCAGAAACTTTCGTAATAGAAATTGCTCTCTGGCAAATCGTTCCTCTTCGAAGAGCTGAATTAACATTAGCGTTTAAAATTATTTTCCTTTGACAGTATTAACAGAGTGAAGACAATTTTAACAGTATACATGCAATACTCCGGGAATCTTTACACTAAAAATGAATTCGTTTATTTGTCGTTTATGTCAATGATCTTAGGCAATACCAAAAATTACAAGAGTGACAATCTAGAAAAGTTCGGCCCATATGTTGTCAATCGATTCGGTATTCGCCAGGCTCGGAGAGAGGTTGGCAGAACATGAGTCATGAACAACCAGCTGAAGTGGTGAATCACAGGCTTTGTCCGTTAGGGACGGAGGCCAAAGGTTATCTTTTGACATTTTCAGTACAACAAATTAAAATAACAGATTATGCAATTGTTACTAATATTAATGTAACTTGAAAAGTGCCTGTCATGTACACACAATTTACAAAAATTTCAAATTGTGAGAAAATGGATAACACATGATCTACAAAATATCAAGTTAATATGATATGCACTATCACTTGGCGTGAGCAGTAATGAAAACTCCAAAACGACAACTAATGTGTTTATCGCAACTCCTAATACGTTTATTCGTAATATAAAAATAAGGGCGAGAATAAAGAGCATTGGCAAGGAACTAAAGGTAATGGGGAAAAATTCTCCGAGAACAAACTGAATAGTGGAGTGATTCTATTATTAGCTCATAAGCATTAAATTCTTTGATAAGTTCCATCCAAATTGACAGCACACGCTTTACAATAAAATAGGGAAAAGTAAACTATTTCTCCAAAATAAATGAAAACGCATGTATTTTTTCGGGAATACGACCTCGCACGCATCATAGACACGGGCTCAAAATCGTGATTCACCCGGTGTTAGCAATGTATGCTTACCACACGGGCAAACATATTACAAGAAATTCATTTGCCTCAATACCAAATAGTTATGATGCTAAGCCAGCTTCCTAGCGGAGCGCAGGGCAGCGGAACTGTCGCGCCCCGCTCGCATATGCCACCGCTTGGAAACGTGACGCCACCGGAAGGCGTGTCGGCCAGCAGGCCAACCAGCCAGCCGGCTGGTTGGCTTGCCGGCCGGCCGGTCGGTCGGTCGCGCGCGCGCGTGCACGCTCTCAAACAGCAGCGCGTACGCGGGCAGGCGGGCGCAGTGTCGCCCAGCTCAGCTCAATGATCGTCGCCGCATGGAGCGCAATGGAGGCTGCGGCAGCCACCGGGCAACACGGGGGTTGGGAACGAGGGCGGCAACTACAGGTACGGGATCGGCTAGGGCTGTTGCTGCAGCTGCTGCCGCCGCCACGACCGGTCGGGTGGGTCCGTCGGTCCATTAGGGCGAGCGACGCGGAATGTGACCGCGCGAGCGCACGCGACCGCCATCTGGCGGCATCCCGACGATTCTCGCGGAAAGACGCGCTTCACGGAGGACGCTTGCTTCCCCACCCCGAGACAGAGACGCCCAGCAACAAAGGAGACCGTTCCGTCAATAGTTGCACGCGGAAGAAAATTCGGCATATCACTATTGCCGCAAAGGGCTGTCGTTCACATACTTTTTGTTTTCGAATGACAGGATAACAAGCTAATTTTATAAAAAAAATATCCTATCGAACTCGCAGATAGTTGGTTCGTTCATGAAGTGCGATAATCTTCGAAATAATTTTCCTCAAATGCCCCGAAATTGCGCAGGTGTACCGATATCGCCCGGCGGGCGCGAGAAAATTCCCGTAACAGTCGATTACGGGAGGCCACTATCTCCGTCTCCGTCCC